ACGTGAGACAGGAATGGTCACCACACATCGAACATACAGAATGTGATGTGGACGTGAGACAGGAATGGTCACCGCACATCAAACATACAGAATGTGATGTGGACGTGAGACAGGAATGGTTACCGCACATCGAACATACAGAATGTGATGTGGACGTGAGACAGGAATGGTCACCACGCATTGAACATACAGAATGTGATGTGGACGTGAGACAGGAATGGTCACCACACATCGAACATACAGAATGTGATGTAGACGTGAGACAGGAATAGTTACCGCACATCGAACATACAGAATGTGATGTGGACGTGAGACAGGAATGGTCACCGCACATCGAACATACAGAATGTGATGTGGACGTGAGACAGGAATGGTCACCGCACATCGAACATACAGAATGTGATGTGGACGTGAGACAGGAATGGTCAACGCACATCGCACATACAGAATGTGATGCCACCGTGAGACAGGAATGGTCACCGCACATCGAACATACAGAATGTGATGTGGACGTGAGACAGGAATGGTCACCGCACATCAAACATACAGAATGTGATGTGGACGTGAGACAGGAATGGTCACCGCACATCGAACATACAGAATGTGATGTGGACGTGAGACAGGAATGGTTACCGCACATCGAACATACAGAATGTGATGCCACCGTGAGACAGGAATGGTCACCACACATCGAACATACAGAATGTGATGTGGACGTGAGACAGGAATGGTCACCGCACATCGAACATACAGAATGTGATGTGGACGTGAGACAGGAATGGTCAACGCACATCGCACATACAGAATGTGATGCCACCGTGAGACAGGAATGGTCACCGCACATCGAACATACAGAATGTGATGTGGACGTGAGACAGGAATGGTCACCGCACATCAAACATACAGAATGTGATGTGGACGTGAGACAGGAATGGTCACCGCACATCGAACATACAGAATGTGATGTGGACGTGAGACAGGAATGGTTACCGCACATCGAACATACAGAATGTGATGCCACCGTGAGACAGGAATGGTCACCACACATCGAACATACAGAATGTGATGTGGACGTGAGACAGGAATGGTCACCGCAAATCGAACATACAGAATGTGATGTGGACGTGAGACAGGAATGGTCACCGCACATCGAACATACAGAATGTGATGTGGACGTGAGACAGGAATGGTCACCACACATCGAACATACAGAATGTGATGTGGACGTGAGACAGGAATGGTCACCGCAAATCGAACATACAGATTGTGATGTGGACGTGAGACAGGAATGGTCACCACACATCGAACATACAGAATGTGATGTGGACGTGAGACAGGAATGGTCACCACACATCGAACATACAGAATGTGATGTGGACGTGAGACAGGAATGGTCACCGCAAATCGAACATACAGAATGTGATGTGGACGTGAGACAGGAATAGTTACCGCACATCGAACATACAGAATGTGATGTAGACGTGAGACAGGAATGGTTACCGCACATCGAACATACAGAATGTGATGTGGACGTGAGACAGGAATGGTCACCACGCATTGAACATACAGAATGTGATGTGGACGTGAGACAGGAATGGTCACCGCACATCGAACATACAGAATGTGATGTGGACGTGAGACAGGAATAGTTACCGCACATCAAACATACAGAATGTGATGTGGACGTGAGACAGGAATGGTCACCACACATCGAGCATACAGAATGTGATGTGGACGTGAGACAGGAATGGTCACCGCACATCGAACATACAGAATGTGATGTGGACGTGAGACAGGAATGGTCACCACACATCGAACATACAGAATGTGATGTGGACGTGAGACAGGATTGGTCACCGCACATCGAATATAAAGAATGTGATGTGGACGTGAGACAGGAATGGTCACCGCACATCGAACATACAGAATGTGATGTGGACGTGAGACAGGAATGGTCACCACACATCGAACATACAGAATGTGATGTGGACGTGAGACAGGAATGGTCACCGCACATCGCACATACAGAATGTGATGCCACCGTGAGACAGGAATGGTCACCACACATCGAACATAAAGAATGTGATGTGGACGTGAGACAGGAATGGTCACCGCACATCGAACATACAGATTGTGATGTGGACGTGAGACAGGAATGGTCACCACACATCGAACATACAGAATGTGATGTGGACGTGAGACAGGAATGGTCACCACACATCGAACATACAGATTGTGATGTGGACGTGAGACAGGAATGGTCTTCAGGCGCATGTGCTGGTGGTAAGACGGGATCTGTTGGTCAGGAGCCCATGATTTCAATCACAGGATTGTCTGGTCCAGAGTCGATTATTTACAAATTTATTACAAACTGTTATGCAGTTGCAATGTATAATACATAAAGCCAACAAACAAGCAAAAAATGAAACCCCACGCCACTGTACCCTGAGGTACACGCGGGCAGGTTATCTGCATTTCCTGGGCAACGCGCACCTGTGCACAGTTTGGATCTTATCTTAGAGCAAATTGCAGGGCGCCTCGACTGCAGCTACTGACTCTCTGACAGCTGTATTAAGTTCCAGAATTCGCATGTCTCCATCTGGCGATAACAGAACGACCAGGAAGAAACGACAAAAAAAAATTCAGAAATGTTCCAAGTACAGAATAAAATATCTATCTACATAATGAGACGCTACATTATAATCAGATTTCAGTACCCACGAACAAGTGATCAGTGTATGGCTTTCAGTGTAATCACTTATTTTCAGAGATCCATTCATATAATTTTAGCGCCTTTTTGCATTTAACACCTGTGGAATCTGTTTCGTCGGATAATCGGGACTGATTATTCTCTGGCGATTTATATACAAATGGTTTGATCAGTATCTGCCTTGATATGTATGTATATACACAAGGTGTTACATCAGTGTCTGCCTTGATATGTATGTATATACACAAGGTGTTACATCAGTGTCTGCCTTGATATGTATGTATATACACAAGGTGTTACATCAGTGTCTGCCTTGATATGAATGTATATACACAAGGTGTTACATCAGTGTCTGCCTTGATATGTATGTATATACACAAGGTGTTACATCAGTGTCTGCCTTGATATGAATGTATATACACAAGGTGTTACATCAGTGTCTGCTTTGATATTACTGTATATACACAAGGTGTTACATCAGTGTCTGCCTTGATATGAATGTATATACACAAGGTGTTACATCAGTGTCTGCCTTGATATAAATGTATATACACAAGGTGTTACATCAGTGTCTGCCTTGATATAAATGTATATACACAAGGTGTTACATCAGTGTCCGGCTTTGATATAACTGTATATACACAAGGTGTTACATCAGTGTCTGCCTTGATATGAATGTATATACACAAGGTGTTACATCAGTGTCTGCCTTGATATGTATGTATATACACAAGGTGTTACATCAGTGTCTGCCTTGATATGAATGTATATACACAAGGTGTTACATCAGTGTCTGCTTTGATATTACTGTATATACACAAGGTGTTACATCAGTGTCTGCCTTGATATGAATGTATATACACAAGGTGTTACATCAGTGTCTGCCTTGATATAAATGTATATACACAAGGTGTTACATCAGTGTCTGCCTTGATATAAATGTATATACACAAGGTGTTACATCAGTGTCCGGCTTTGATATAACTGTATATACACAAGGTGTTACATCAGTGTCTGCCTTGATATGAATGTATATACACAAGGTGTTACATCAGTGTCTGCCTTGATATGTATGTATATACACAAGGTGTTACATCAGTGTCTGCCTTGATATGAATGTATATACACAAGGTGTTACATCAGTGTCTGCTTTGATATTACTGTATATACACAAGGTGTTACATCAGTGTCTGCCTTGATATGAATGTATATACACAAGGTGTTACATCAGTGTCTGCCTTGATATGAATGTATATACACAAGGTGTTACATCAGTGTCTGCCTTGATATAAATGTATATACACAAGGTGTTACATCAGTGTCCGGCTTTGATATAACTGTATATACACAAGGTGTTACATCAGTGTCTGCCTTGATATAACTGTATATACACAAGGTGTTACATCAGTGTCCGGCTTTGATATAAATGTATATACACAAGGTGTTACATCAGTGTCTGCCTTGATATAACTGTATATACACAAGGTGTTACATCAGTGTCTGCCTTGATATAAATGTATATACACAAGGTGTTACATCAGTGTCCGGCTTTGATATAACTGTATATACATAAGGTGTTACATCAGTTTCCGGCTTTGATATAACTGTATATACACACGGTGTTACATCAGTGTCCGGCTTTGATATAACTGTATATACACAAGGTGTTACACCAGTGTCTGCCTTGATATAACTGTATATACACAAGGTGTTACATCAGTGTCTGCCTTGATATAAATGTATATACACAAGGTGTTACAGCAGTGTCCGGGTTTGATATAACTGTATATACACACGGTGTTACATCAGTGTCCGGCTTTGATATAAATGTATATACACAAGGTGTTACAGCAGTGTCCGGCTTTGATATAACTGTATATACACAAGGTGTTACAGCAGTGTTCGGCTTTGATATAACTGTATATACACAAGGTGCTACATCAGTGTCCGGCTTTGATATAACTGTATATAGATAAGGTGTTACATCAGTGTCTTGCTTTGATATTACTGTATATACACAAGGTGTTACATCAGTGTCCGGCTTTGATATAAATGTATATACACAAGGTGTTACATCCGTGTTTGGATTTTCATGACAAATATGGAAGCCTATTTTCGCTGCTTAGTAGCCCACGTCTGTTTGTCTATTTCTGTTGATCTGACCCTTTCTCTGACTGTAACCTTTACCAGCGGGATGTTCTTGTTCCCAGCACGACGCTGAAGGATCTGTTGCTTTGTACCCAACCCTTTTCGTGATATAAAACTTAAAAATACATGATAATCCTTCATTTAGTCTTTTATCAGGTGGTATAAATCTGCAGGACTAAGCTACTTGCTCAGTATAGGAGCGACACCATGATCCACTTCACCAGTAAGCATTCTACGTGTGTCAACATGATTTATCCGCCTGAATGTGGACACTACACTTGCCGGACGTTTCTTGGGCTGGTGTTGGTTTGGGTAGCGATATAGTACAGCAAAGCAAGGAATGGTTAACCAGGCGACTCTTGGTGGCCACGATAAACGAGATTATGCTGTCCTTTCATTCAAATCCTTACTATACACCCATGTTCATCTTTTTCAGTTGCTGCCGCCTTTATAGCCGTTGTAGCTGTAAACGGTAAGATACCCTCACTGACTCTCTCTGTACACATGTAAACTATAAGATACCCTCACTGACCCTCTCTGTACACATGTAAACTGTAAGATAACCCAACCGACTCTCTCTGTACACATGTAAATTGTAAGATACCCTCACTCACTCTCACTATAACATGTAAATTGTAAGATACTCTCACTGACTCTCTCTGTACACATGTAAACTGTAAGATAACCTAACCGACTCTCTCTGTACACATGTAAACTGTAAGATACCCTCACTCACTCTCACTGTAACATGTAAACTGTAAGATACCCTCACTGACTCTCTCTGTACACATGTAAACTGTAAGATAACCTAACCGACTCTCTCTGTACACATGTAAATTGTAAGATACCCTCACTCACTCTCACTATAACATGTAAATTGTAAGATACCCTCACTGACTCTCTCTGTACACATGTAAACTGTAAGATAACCTAACCGACTCTCTTTGTACACATGTAAACTGTAAGATACCCTCACTCAATCTCTCTGTACACATGTAAACTGTAATATACCCTCACTGACTCTCTCTGTACACATGTAAACTGTACGATACCCTCACTGACTCTCTCTGTACACATGTAAACTGTAAGATACCCTCACTCAATCTCTCTGTACACATGTAAACTGTAAGATACCCTCACTCACTCACTCACTCTGTACACATGTAAACTGTAAGATACCCTCACTCAATCTCTCTGTACACATGTAAACTGTAAGATACCCTCACTCACTCTCTCTGTACACATGTACACTGTAAGATACCCTCACTCAATCTCTCTGTACACATGTACACTGTGTAGTCTCTGACCCCCTCTGTTTCATACTCTATATATTGATCCTCATTGTTGGCATATGGCGATATTGGTTCTGTCAGTATTAATATGTTTCGTGTGGCAAGATTATAGTATGGTTCATATCGTCTAACAATAGAAACGTGGGCATGCCAAGAAATCAAAGAATGCGTGAAATGTGTTTCTTTTGAAATATAGAAACTGATTATCATTTTTTTTCTTTTGATATGTATGATATGTAGAGCGTTTAAGCACCTGCATCAGTTTTATGTCCACCAAAAGTATTATGTAGTTCCAAGTTACATACATTTACATGTTAATGTTTATGGACAACGTATAGTGTTCAACATGTAGTGATATTGGTGAGGGGAGGTGAAATGGTGTTTAACCTCGCGTCTAAGATTATTGCACTTAAAAGCGCACGTGTGTGTGTGTGTGTGTGTGTGTGTGTGTGTGTGTGTGTGTGTGTGTGTGTGTGTGTGTGTGTGTGTGTGTGTGTGTGTGTGTGTGTGTGTGTGTTTGTGTGGCTGCTTGTATTAGTCTGGACTGATGCGGATTTATAGTGCTAGCACACTGAGATATCATGCCGCAGTTTAACATGAATACCCCACTCAGACACAGTATACTGACTCCGAGCCGATCAGTCCTTGTTTTTGCCCCTTAATGCCGAGCGCCAGACATGGAAACAACAAGTACCATCTTTTAACGTCTTTTGGTATGACCCATCCGGGGATCGAACCCCGGACATTCCGCTCTTCGGGCGAACGCTCTACCACCAGATCACGGAGGCGGTCTGTTGTAATATAGTGAACAATTAATATTAAAAAATATGTTCATTGTTATGTTTATGCAACTAAATTGATAAAAGAACTGTAAAATCTTACTGCAGAATTGCTGCAACACGTAATTGTACGATTGCCTACGCTTCGTGAATAGAATGTGATGACGTAAGATACGCATGCATACATTCCGTCATGTATACATATACTGATGGAGTGAGTGAGTTTGGTTTAACGCCACTTTTAACAGTATTCCAGTTATATCGCGGCGTGTCAGCTTAATGTGGGAGGAAAGCTCGAAGTGATGCAGGTCTAAGACGTTTACCACTTTGGTGAAACCCACGAGCACGGGTATGGTGCTGACAAACCTAGAAACATAATCGGGGCGAACCGGGATTCGAACCCAGAATCATAGGTTTTTGGCGTGCCCAAGGGACGCAACTCTGCACAGCAAATTGCGGCGCCTTAGAGGACTGGGCCCACCTTCCCCCCTATACTGATGGAAGTGAGTAGGAGAACACTTAGTTTTAGACACAGTAAAATGATATGATATCAGCCTTGTCTGCCCAATACGCGTTGGAAACAATGCTCACAAACACATCTAAACATTTGATTCTGACATGCGTTGAATGTGTATGCGCGCTATCAAATGTACTGACAGTAGAGCTTATTTCCCTATATATTTCATTGTTCCCTTTGTTGTTTCCATCAGTATATAAAGAGAAAGATGGCTATATTTCGCTCTCTCAAATCAAACAGAGGAAATGATAACAACAAATGCTAAAACAAATATGTAAGAGCTGCACACGTAAGGGCTGATTCCACCGTACCTCAGTGTTTGTGATGCATGTGGTTGTCTGCATCCGATGAATGGGATGACCAATGAGAACGTCTACCCTGGTTGTATGTATAGGATAAAGCACGTCAGGGCTTTTTAAAATATTTAAAACCTGTGTCCGCGGGATAAGTGTTTTAAATATCATAAAAAACCCGAGGGAAATTGCTTTATCTAACTTCTTAACTGAAAACTTAAAACAACATTTATGAACATTTTTCTGTTTCAAACATAGTTCCCATGAACCTTAGGGAAACGGGCGTAAAATATCTGCTGCTGACGTACGGTACTTGAAGACGACATTCTTTGAAGCATTGTGATGTGTCACCGCGTCTGAAGTCTCGTGGCACTCACTGGGCAAAACATACGAAGGTTGCGTTTTGGACCCTAGGGAATATCAGCAATACATTTGTCATTTGATTTTACATTTCATTACATTGTGCTCAAATGCAAAATATATTTCAAGCGAGAAACATTATTATGTTACATTAAAACGGAAGTTGTATTAATAAAATCCAAGGGGTATTATAATATCCCTGTTTATGAGATTTAATCCGACTGGAGAAAAATAGGATGACGTCACTGGAGGTTTATAAGATATGATATAGCCGAGCTTGACTGGAACTGGGTAAGGGGGTGACGTGGTGAGATTGGTGAGATTTGGGGAGAGGATAAGGGTGAGGGATGAGGATGTGGATGACGGTTATCTTCTACTGCTACTTGTGCTGCCGGTGTTAGGGTTAGGGTTAGGGTTAGGGTTAGGGTTAGGGTTAGGGTTAGGGCTAGGGTTAGGGTTAGGGTTAGGGCTAGGGTTAGGGTTAGGTTTAGAGTAAGGCTTATCTTCTAATGCTACTTGTGCTGCAGGGTTAGGGTTAGGTTAGGGTTAGGTTAGGGTTAGGGTTAGGGTTAGGGTTAGGTTAGGTTAGGGTTAGGGTTAGGGTTAGGGTTAGGGTTAGGGTTAGGTTAGGGTTAGGTTTAGGGTTAGGTTTAGGGTTAGGGTTAGGATTATCTTCTAATGCTACTTGTGCTGCAGGTGACGGTGGTCCAGTGTGCCATACGTGCAGCAATGTTGCCAGTCTCGAAGCCTGCACCGACCAGATCAACTGTGATGCTGATGAGGTAACATGTGTGGTGTGGCGTGGCGTGTCGTGGTGTGGTGTGGTGTGGCGTGGCGTGGCGTGGCGTGGCGTGGCGTGGCGTGGTGTGGTGTGGTGTGGTGTGGTGTGGTGTGGATGGGGAGCGGAGGAGGAGAAGATCATGGGATTTTCTATTCATAGCCAAAGCTCAAGTATGCTCTTGTAATTTCAAATGACAATTGTCTGTTGTAGGGGTGTTACGTGTCTCTGTTGTGTGTTATAGGGGTGTTACGTGTCTCTGTTGTGTGTTGTAGGGGTGTTACGTGTCTCTGTTGTCTGTTGTAGGGGTGTTACGTGTCTCTGTTGTGTTTTGTAGGGGTGTTACGTGTCTCTGTGGTGTGTTGTAGGGGTGTTGCGTGTCTCTGTTGTCTGTTGTAGGGGTGTTACGTGTCTCTGTTGTGTGTTGTAGGGGTGTTACGTGTCTCTGTTGTGTGTTGTAGGGGTGTTACGTGTCTCTGTTGTGTGTTGTAGGGGTGTTACGTGTCTCTGTTGTGTGTTGTAGGAGTGTTACGTGTCTCTGTTGTCTGTTGTAGGGGTGTTACGTGTCTCTGTTGTGTGTTGTAGGGGTGTTACGTGTCTCTGTTGTCTGTGCAGGGGTGTTGCGTGTCTCTGTTGTGTGTTGTAGGGGTGTTACGTGTCTCTGTTGTGTGTTGTAGGGGTGTTACGTGTCTCTGTTGTGTGTTGTAGGGATGTTACGTGTCTCTGTTGTGTGTTGTAGGGATGTTACGTGTCTCTGTTGTCTGTTGTAGGGGTGTTACGTCTCTCTGTTGTCTGTGCAGGGGTGTTACGTTTCTCTGTTGTGTGTTGTAGGAGTGTTACGTGTCTCTGTTGTCTGTTGTAGGGTTGTTACGTGTCTCTGTTGTCTGTTGTAGGGGTGTTACGTGTCTCTGTTGTGTGGTGTAGGGATGTTACGTGTCTCTGTTGTGTGTTGTAGGGATGTTACGTGTCTCTGTTGTCTGTTGTAGGGGTGTTACGTGTCTCTGTTGTCTGTTGTAGGGATGTTACGTGTCTCTGTTGTGTGTTGTAGGGGTGTTACGTGTCTCTGTTGTCTGTTGTAGGGGTGTTACGTGTCTCTGTTGTCTGTTGTAGTGGTGTTACGTGTCTCTGTTGTCTGTGCAGGGGTGTTACGTGTCTCTGTTGTCTGTGCAGGGGTGTTACGTGTCTCTGTTGTCTGTGCAGGGGTGTTACGTGTCTCTGTTGTCTGTGCAGGGGTGTTACGTTTCTCTGTTGTGTGTTGTAGGAGTGCTACATGGAGAAGACTCTGGACAATGTGCTGAGCACAAGTTTCACTTTCGGTTGTCAGAAGACCAAGGTCAGTTTCTCTATCTCTCTGTGTCACTCCCTCTGTCGTACTCTCTATCTCTCTTCCTCTCTCTCTCTCTCTCTCTCTCTCTCTGTCTGTCTGTCTGTCTCTCTATCTCTGTCTGTCTGTCTGTCTCTCTATCTCTCTTCCTCTCTCTCTCTCTCTCTGTGTCTTACTCTCTATCTCTCTTCCTCTCTCTCTCTGTCTGTCTGTCTCTCTCTCATTATCATGGGGCACGGGTGGCCCAGTCGTGTAAGGCGCCGTAATTCACTCACTCACTCATTATCAGTGTGTATTGCCGGTGTGTGATGCATGTACTTGGCAGGTCTGCTCGATGCTCTCTGCTGGCTCGGGAGCAGTCATTGGACGGAAGCGGAACGTGCGGACCGTGCCTGGGACGAGGGCCAAGCGAGCAGTGACCTTGTGTTCCCAGTGCTGTAGCGGGAACCTGTGTGCTAAGGGCTTGTGTGTAGGAGGTAAGAAAACAGGCAGACATACAGACAGACAGACAGACAGACTGTCGGCCAGTCGCCAGGACACTTTTTAAGAAGTAGCAAATATTTGTCTGAATAGTAATATGTCTCAAGTATATACACCAAGTTTGATTATCTGCGTTTGAGCCTGAGGGTAAGACAACTTCCCAAACTCTAATGTCCGCAATCCTGTATTGAGGATCAACGACCGGGGTCCCCGCCAAGAACGAGGTGTACGTGCAGCTGCTGGGAGGCTCGAACGCCTACGAGGGCACCGTGCTGGTGTACTTCAACAACGCCTGGGGCACCATCTGCGACGACAACTGGACCAACACTGATGCTGGCGTCATCTGCAAGATGCTGGGATACTCCGAGTGAGTCTACTATTCTATTGTATTCACCACAACGTACATCGTGTATTGTGTCAGTCCGTGTGAATCTACTATTCTATTGTATTCACTACAAATTATATCGTGTATTGGGTCAGTTTAGTCTGAGTCTTCAATAATATTGTATCCCCACGACGTATTTGGTGTATTGTGTCAGGAGTACGAATCACTATCTAAGGATATATCTCTGTGTTTGATGAAGTGTGGGGGCAGGCGCCGTGGGACAGGCGAGATTCGGCTACTTCAGCAGCGGACGCATTTGGCTGGAAGACGTTGCGTGTACGGGCAATGAAACAAGCATCGCACAGTGTCAGGAAAGTAGCTGGGGTATCACTGACTGCTCCCACAGAGAAGACGCTGGGGTGTTGTGTACGTCAGGTGAGTCACCACAGTGGACACCGGGTGGTCTGTACGTCTGGTGAGTCACCACAGTGGACATCGGGTGTTGTGTACGTCTGGTGAGTCGCCACAGTGGACACCGGGTGTTGTGTACGTCAGGTGAGTCGCCACAGTGGACACCGGGTGGTCTGTACGTCTGGTGAGTCACCATTGTGGACACCGGGTGGTCTGTACGTCTGGTGAGTCACCACAGTGGTTACCGGATGTTGTGTACGTCTGGTGAGTCGCCACAGTGGACACCGGGTGGTCTGTACGTCTGGTGAGTCACCATTGTGGACATCGGGTGTAGTGTACGTCAGGTGAGTCAACACAGTGGACAACGGGTGGTCTGTGCGTCAGGTGAGTCACCACAGTGGACACCGGGTGGTCTGTACGTCTGGTGAGTCACCACAGTGGACACCGGGTGTTGTGTACGTCAGGTGAGTCACCACAGTGGACACCGGGTGGTCTGTACGTCTGGTGAGTCACCACAGTAGACACCGGGTGGTCTGTACGTCTGGTGAGTCGCCACAGTGGACACCGGGTGGTCTGTACGTCTGGTGAGTCACCACAGTGGACACCGGGTGGTCTGTGCGTCAGGTGAGTCCCCTAAGAGGACACCAGAGGTTGTAGGCGGCGGAATTCTATTTCTGACATGGAAACATCATTAAATGATCCGATTTTCACGTAATTACATTTCTATTCAAGTAGTCTTAAAATACGCCACAATCTTTAAGTGTACAAACACAGGTTCTACCTCTGTATGGTATTTGGGTGTTCGTATTTCAGTTTGATTTGACATCATTTAGGAGTTGCCTCATTCGAGAGTTACATCGTTTGACACTTGCATCTTTTGATAGTAGATTCATTTGACACTTGCATCATTTTAGAGTAGAATCATTATTTTGAGAGTTGCAACATTTGAGAGCTGCATCATTGGTGATTTGCATCTTGTAAGAATTGCATCGTGTGAGAGTTGCATCGTGTGAGAGTTGCATCGTTTGAGAGTGAAATCCTTTAAAAGATGCATCTTTTGAGAGTTGAGTCTTGTAAGAGTTGCATCGTGTGATAGTTGAATCGTGTAAGTGCTGCATCGTTTGAGAGTTGCATAGTGTAAGTGTTGCATCTTGTAAACGCTGCATTGTGTGAGAGTTGCGTCTCGTAAGAGCTGCATCATGTGAGAATTGCATCGTGTGAGAGTTGCATCGTTTGAGGGTTGCATTATTGGCGAGTTGTATCTTGTAAGAGTTCCATTGTGTGAGAGTTGTATCATCTGAGAGTTGCATCATTGGTGAGTTGCATCTTGTAAGAGTTGCATCGTGTGAGAGTTGCATCGTTTGAGAGTTGTATCATCTGAGAGTTGCATCATTGGTGAGTTGCATCTTGTAAGAGTTGCATCGTTTGAGAGTTGCATCATCTGAGAGTTGCATCGTGCGTGTATAAGTACGTTCTCCATACACGAGCTTAACACAAGTAACACAAGTAACACAAGTAACACAAACACAACTGTCGCCAGTTTCAAAGGAAGATGACGTCATATTTCTGGCGGACACGGGCCGTGGAGGAAAAGTGACCCGCATGAATCTCCTGACCGGCAGCTTCGTGGACATCCCAGTCAACAAAAACTACGCCGTCGGCTCCTTCGACTACGACTCAGTTGAAGGTCGGATCTACTTTGTGGAGCCGCGACTCGACCAATTGGTCAGTGTACACTTTGACGGAACAGACATCAGAGAGTTGAAGCAGTTATCCACTAGTAAGTCATGGGGTGGAGAATGGGGAGAGTAGGGTGGAGAGAAGGGAGCGTGGGGTGGAGAAAGGGGAAGATGGATGTGGGGGAGAGGAGCGTGGGTTAGGGAGAGGGAATTGTGGTGTGGGGAGAGGTGAGACTGGGGTATGAGGGGTGAAGAGCGTAGGTTGGGGAGAAGGGAGTATGGGGTGGGGTGAGAAGCATGGAGCGTGGGGTGGGGAGAGAAGCATGGAGCGTGGGGTGGGGAGAAGGGAGTATGGGGTGGGGTGAGAAGCATGGAGCGTGGGGCGGGGAGAAGGGAGCGTGGGGCGTGGAGAAGGGAGTATGGGGTGGGGTGAGAAGCATGGAGCGTGGGGCGGGGAGAAGGGAGTATGGGGTGGGGTGAGAAGCATGGAGCGTGGGGTGGGGAGAAGGGAGCGTGGGGCGGGGAGAAGGGAGTATGGGGTGGGGTGAGAAGCATGGAGCGTGGGGCGGGGAGAAGGGAGTATGGGGTGGGGTGAGAAGCATGGAGCGTGGGGTGGGGAGAAGGGAGCGTGGGGCGGGGAGAAGGGAGTATGGGGTGGGGTGAGAAGCATGGAGCGTGGGGCGGGGAGAAGGGAGTATGGGGTGGGGTGAGAAGCATGGAGCGTGGGGTGGGGAGAAGGGAGTAAGGGGTGGGGTGAGAAGCATGGAGCGTGGGGTGGGGAGAAGGGAGCGTGGGGCGGGGAGAAGGGAGTATGGGGTGGGGTGAGAAGCATGGAGCGTGGGGCGGGGAGAAGGGAGCGTGGGGCGGGGAGAAGGGAGTATGGGGTGGGGTGAGAAGCATGGAGCGTGGGGTGGGGAGAAGGGAGCGTGGGGCGGGGAGAAGGGAGTATGGGGTGGGGTGAGAAGCATGGAGCGTGGGGCGGGGAGAAGGGAGCGTGGGGTGGAGAAAGGGGAAGTGTGGGGGAGTGGAGCGTGGGGGAGGGAGAGAAGAGTGTGGTGTGGAGAGAGGTGATGATGGAGGTTGGGGAGTGTATTAGGGTAAGGGAAGTGTAGGGTGGGGAGAGGGGAGTGTGGGGTGGGAGAGGGGAGAGTAGGGTGTGGAGAGGGGAGTGTGGGGTTGGGTGGGAAGAGGGAAGTGTGGGGTGGGAAGAGGGGAGTGTGGGGTGGGAAGAGGGGAGAGTGGGGTGGGAGAGGGGAATGTGGGGTGGGGAGAGGGGAGCGTGGGATGGGAAGAGGGGAGAGTGGGGTGGGAGAGGGGAATGTGGGGTGGGAAGAGGTGAGAGTGGGGTGGGAAGAGGGGAGTGTGGGGTGGAGAGAGGTGAAGATGGAGGTGGGGGAGTGGATTAGGGTAAGGGAAGTGTAGGGTGGGGAGAGGGGAGCGTGGGGTGGGAAGAGGGAAGTGTGGGGTGGGGAGAGGGGAGCGTGGGATGGGAAGAGGGAAGTGTAGGGTGTGAGAGGTGAATGTGGGGTGGGAAGAGGGGAGTGTGGGGTGGAGAGAGGTGAAGATGGAGGTGGGGGAGTGGATTAGGGTAAGGGAAGTGTAGGGTGGGGAGAGGGGAGCGTGGGGTGGGAAGAGGGAAGTGTAGGGTGGGGAGAGGGGAGCGTGGGATGGGAAGAGGGAAGTGTAGGGTGTGAGAGGTGAATGTGGGGTGGGAAGAGGGGAGAGTGGGGTGGGAAGAGGGGAGTGTGGGGTGGAGAGAGGTGAAGATGGAGGTGGGGGAGTGGATTAGGGTAAGGGAAGTGTAGGGTGGGGAGAGGGGAGCGTGGGGTGGGAAGAGGGAAGTGTAGGGTGGGGAGAGGGGAGCGTGGGATGGGAAGAGGGAAGTGTAGGGTGGGGAGAGGGGAGCGTGGGGTGGGAAGAGGGAAGTGTAGGGTGGGGAGAGGGGAGCGTGGGATGGGAAGAGGGAAGTGTAGGGTGGGGAGAGGGGAGCGTGGGATGGGAAGAGGGAAGTGTAGGGTGGGGAGAGGGGAGCGTGGGGTGGGAAGAGGGAAGTGTGGGGTGGGGAGAGGGGAGCGTGGGATGGGAAGAGGGAAGTGTGGGGTGGGGTGAGAAGCATGGAGCGTGGGGCGGGGAGAAGGGAGTATGGGGTGGGGTGAGAAGCATGGAGCGTGGGGTGGGGAGAAGGGAGTAAGGGGTGGGGTGAGAAGCATGGAGCGTGGGGCGGGGAGAAGGGAGTATGGGGTGGGGTGAGAAGCATGGAGCGTGGGGTGGGGAGAAGGGAGTAAGGGGTGGGGTGAGAAGCATGGAGCGTGGGGCGGGGAGAAGGGAGTATGGGGTGGGGAGAAGGGAGCGTGGGGCGGGGAGAAGGGAGTATGGGGTGGGGTGAGAAGCATGGAGCGTGGGGCGGGGAGAAGGGAGTATGGGGTGGGGTGAGAAGCATGGAGCGTGGGGTGGGGAGAAGGGAGTAAGGGGTGGGGTGAGAAGCATGGAGCGTGGGGTGGGGAGAAGGGAGCGTGGGGCGGGGAGAAGGGAGTATGGGGTGGGGTGAGAAGCATGGAGCGTGGGGCGGGGAGAAGGGAGCGTGGGGCGGGGAGAAGGGAGTATGGGGTGGGGTGAGAAGCATGGAGCGTGGGGTGGGGAGAAGGGAGCGTGGGGCGGGGAGAAGGGAGTATGGGGTGGGGTGAGAAGCATGGAGCGTGGGGCGGGGAGAAGGGAGCGTGGGGTGGAGAAAGGGGAAGTGTGGGGGAGTGGAGCGTGGGGGAGGGAGAGAAGAGTGTGGTGTGGAGAGAGGTGATGATGGAGGTTGGGGAGTGTATTAGGGTAAGGGAAGTGTAGGGTGGGGAGAGGGGAGTGTGGGGTGGGAGAGGGGAGAGTAGGGTGTGGAGAGGGGAGTGTGGGGTTGGGTGGGAAGAGGGAAGTGTGGGGTGGGAAGAGGGGAGTGTGGGGTGGGAAGAGGGGAGAGTGGGGTGGGAGAGGGGAATGTGGGGTGGGGAGAGGGGAGCGTGGGATGGGAAGAGGGGAGAGTGGGGTGGGAGAGGGGAATGTGGGGTGGGAAGAGGTGAGAGTGGGGTGGGAAGAGGGGAGTGTGGGGTGGAGAGAGGTGAAGATGGAGGTGGGGGAGTGGATTAGGGTAAGGGAAGTGTAGGGTGGGGAGAGGGGAGCGTGGGGTGGGAAGAGGGAAGTGTGGGGTGGGGAGAGGGGAGCGTGGGATGGGAAGAGGGAAGTGTAGGGTGTGAGAGGTGAATGTGGGGTGGGAAGAGGGGAGTGTGGGGTGGAGAGAGGTGAAGATGGAGGTGGGGGAGTGGATTAGGGTAAGGGAAGTGTAGGGTGGGGAGAGGGGAGCGTGGGGTTCGGAAGAGGGAAGTGTAGGGTGGGGAGAGGGGAGCGTGGGATGGGAAGAGGGAAGTGTAGGGTGTGAGAGGTGAATGTGGGGTGGGAAGAGGGGAGAGTGGGGTGGGAAGAGGGGAGTGTGGGGTGGAGAGAGGTGAAGATGGAGGTGGGGGAGTGGATTAGGGTAAGGGAAGTGTAGGGTGGGGAGAGGGGAGCGTGGGGTGGGAAGAGGGAAGTGTAGGGTGGGGAGAGGGGAGCGTGGGATGGGAAGAGGGAAGTGTAGGGTGGGGAGAGGGGAGCGTGGGGTGGGAAGAGGGAAGTGTAGGGTGGGGAGAGGGGAGCGTGGGATGGGAAGAGGGAAGTGTAGGGTGGGGAGAGGGGAGCGTGGGATGGGAAGAGGGAAGTGTAGGGTGGGGAGAGGGGAGCGTGGGGTGGGAAGAGGGAAGTGTGGGGTGGGGAGAGGGGAGCGTGGGATGGGAAGAGGGAAGTGTGGGGTGTGAGAGGTGAATGTGGGATGGGAAGAGGGGAGAGTGAGAGGTGAGAGGAGAGTGTTATACAACACATGTTTAACAGTCGCTGAGGTGTCAACTTTACCCTGCGTAGACGCCGACCTGGAGAAACTGGAGGTTGACCCTGTCAACCGCATCCTTTTCTACACCGACACTGGCAATGACGTCATCGGCTCCATTAACCTCGACGGCAGCAACTTCCAAATTGTTATCAACTCTAATCTTGATGAACCCCGAGAGATCGCTGTTGACCCTCGCTCAAAGTACGTATCCATGGTAATGCTGTAATCTGGTGTAAGTCGATGTGCAAAGATATAATAGTGGGACTATGTTAGATTTCTACGCTGCTTTGAACAATATTTCATGTATATCACGGCAGACCAGGTGACATTGGTGGAAAACACATCCCAGAAGTTTACCTCGTTAGTGAGTGAGTGAGTTGGGTTTCAAGCCGCTCTTCACAGCCAGAGCAGAATGAACAGTCAATGAAAGGTGCAGGGGTGAAAACAACAGTTGGACACGGAGACATAAAACTAGGCAAGAAACTAAACTAAGAAAACACCCGCGCTTACCCTCTGATTGACCACCAAGGATTACTTGTCTACCCAACAATGCAGGATCACCTGACAAAAGAGTAGAGCTTTAATAATGATGCTTAACTAACAACTACTTCAATGTCTTATGCAGCCTCTCATGACAATATATTGACAGGGTGTGACGGACTATTCCTCTCATAACAATATACTGACAGGGTGTGACGGACTATTTCTCTCAGGACAATATATTTGCAGGGTGTGACGGACTATTCCTCTCATGACAATATACTGACAGGGTGTGACGGACTATTTCTCTCAGGACAATATACTGACAGGGTGTGACGGACTATTCCTCTCATGACAATATACTGACAGGGTGTGACGGACTATTCCTCTCATAACAATATATTGACAGGGTGTGACGGACTATTTCTCTCATGACAATATATTGACAGGGTCTGACGAGCTGATCTTTGCTTAAAAATGTTATTTTGGTGATTTTGAGTAAAGTACAGATGCTAGTACTTTTTCGTGTTTAGTCCCGTTCGGGATTCGAACCCACAGTGCCAGAGTGAGGCACCAAATCGCCAGCACCCAAAAGTAAGCGATCTAACCCACAGTGCCAGAGTGAGGCACCAAATCGCCAGCACCCTAAGTAAGCGATCTAACCCACAGTGCCAGAGTGAGGCACCAAATCGCCAGCACCCTAAGTAAGCGATCTAACCCATACTGCCAGAGTGAGGCACCAAATCGCCAGCACCAAAAGTAAGCGATCTAACCCACAGTGCCAGAGTGAGGCACCAAATCGCCAGCACCCTAAGTAAGCGATCTAACCCACAGTGCCAGAGTGAGGCACCAAATCGCCAGCACCAAAAGTAAGCGATCTAACCCACTAACTCCACAAAATGAAAGTTCGAATCCCGGACGGGACTCAACTTTACCAAGAAAGTGTAATCCCAATACTACAATTGTTAATTAAATGTTGACCACTTTCTTTCATTGAGTGTTCATATTCTTAGTTTGACAATATATTTACAGGGCCTTACGCACTATTTTCCCATGACAATACGGTGACTTGTGTCTCCCACAGGCAGATCTACTGGACGGACTGGGGAAAGTCTCCAAAGATAGAGCGCTCCAATTATGATGGCACCGAAAGACAGACCCTGATCACGACTGGGATCATGTGGCCGAACGGCATGGCGATAGACTACAACGGTCAGTGTACATTACAGGGTCCACAACTGGCAACCTCCAGCATTCCTAAACAATAGTTTATTATTCCCAGATTAAAGACTAAATTCTTATATTAATTCCAGAATAGTGACCAAAGAAGAGATAATACTATTGTTTGGCTTCTAGAACAGAGAGTCAATCATTTTTTTCAATCCCGAGAAATCGCGTCAACTAATCCATGTAAGGGAAATAACTCTTCGTGCTAACTAATACCTGCAAGGGAGAAAACTCTTCCCAGAACGCTATTTCCACGTTATCTCTTTTAATATACTGGAGGTTGTACATGATCTTAATCATGCGTAATGCTCCCGCCAGTAGTAGGTGTAGGTTCACACTTGAGGATGTAGTCAGGGCTGCACGTGTATCAGGGCGACATGTCCGTGTTTGTCAGACAACAAGCTGTACTTCGTGGATGGGGGCACGCACCTGCTGGAGGTGATGGACATGGACGGTGGCAACCGACACACCGTCATGAAGGACGCCGGTGCCCACTTCTTCGCCATCGACGTCTTCAAAAATTACCTCTTCTACACCGACTGGAACCAACAGTACGTAAGATGTGTTTACAGTTGTACATGTTGTCCATATGCAGGTCGATCGTAATCAGGCTCGTTGACTTGCTCGAGTCCATGGTCTCACATTCTCGCATGTTCGCAGTATTTGCACTTTAAGCCTGTGTTTGCAAAGATCGAGATTACATGGATGCGAGAACGCTAGAAGAGCCCCTCTATATCTCAGAATACATGCCAACTATCAAAGTATCACACCTACTGCGAGTGTTCCTGTGTTCCTGTGTTTGTTTGTTTGTTTGTTTGTTTGTTGATTAACGCTGCACTCAGCAATACTCAAGCCTTATGACAGCGGTCTGTAAATTATCGAGTCTGGACCACACAATCCAGTGATTGACATCATGAACATCGGTCCACGCAATTGGGATACGATGACATGCATCAACGAAGTCAGCGAGTCTGACCACCCGATCCCGTTAGTCCCCTTTTACGGCAAGCATTGGTTGCTGAAGACCTATTCTACCCCGGCTCTTCACGGGTAGATGGTTATTGTGACTATTGTCATTCTTGGATAGGATATTGTTTATTAACGTGTCACAAAGTGTACATTAAAAAACACAGTCACCATTATATCGTTAGAATACTTTTTTTTATAGAATAATTATTTTGGAACACTACATGTATTTCCGTTTCTCATAAAAGGCAATAATATAAACAACAAACATATTAGATCTTAGGAAAATTACAAATGTCATATTATGATAATTTAGATGTACTGTTTCCTTCGTTTAAATGAAGATTGAATATGTGCGGCTTAAGGATGGCATAATTCTTTACTTGAAGTCATGTACGGCATCGGTAGATGTTTCAAAGAACACCAGAGGCCCCTTCATTTGCAGATGTAATTGTCTATTGTTTATACCGTCTACTGTCTATTGTATATTGTTTATACCGTCCATTGTCTACTGTCTATTGTTTATGCTATCTACACACGCAGAACCTTGATGCGGGTCAACAAGGACGGTAGCGGTAAAACGGCTGTCGGTCCACCAAGCTTCCGGGAACTCGCCGATATCAGGATCCACGAATACGGACTGGATGTCCAGGGTAGGGTCTCCGTAGTGTCCCGTCTATAGCGTAGTGTCCAGGGTAGGGTCTCCGTAATGTCACGTCTATAGCATGGTGTCCAGGGTAGGGTCTCCGTAGTGTCCCGTCTATAGCGTAGTGTCCAGGGTAGGGTCTCCGTAGTGTCCCGTCTATAGCGTAGTGTCCAGGGTAGGGTCTCCGTAATGTCACGTCTATAGCGTGGTGTCCAGGGTAGGGTCTCCGTAGTGTCACGTCTATAGCGTGGTGTCCAGGGTAGGTTCTCCGTAGTGTCACGTCTATAGCGCGGTGTCCAAGGTAGGGTCTCTGTAGTGTCACGTCTATAGCGTGGTGTCTAGGGTAGGGTCTCCGTAGTGTCACGTCCATAGCATGGTGTCCAGCGTAGGGTCTCCGTAGTGTCACGTCTATAGTGCGGTGTCCAGGGTAGGGTCTCCGTAGTGTCACGTCTATAGCGTGGTGTCCAGGGTAGAGTCTCGGTAGCGTCACGTCTATAGCGCGGTCTCCAGGGTAGGGTCTCCGTAGCGTCACGTCTATAGCGTAGTGTCCAGGGTAGGGTCTCCGTAGTGTCACGTCTATAGCGTGGTGTCCAGGGTAGGGTCTCCGTAGTGTCACGTCTATAGCGTGGTGTCCAGCGTAGGGTCTCCGTAGTGTCAAGTCTATAGTGCGGTGTCCAGGGTAGGGTCTCCATAATGTCACGTGCAATGCATGGTGCCTAGCGTATGGTCTCCGTAGTGTCACGTCTATAGTGCGGTGTCCAGGGTAGGGTCTCCGTAGTGTCACGTCTATAGCGTGGTGTCGAGGGTAGTTTCTCTGTAGTGTCACGTCCACAGCATGGTGTTCAGCGTAGGGTCTCCGTAGTGTCACATCTATAGCGCGGTGTCCAGGGTAGGGTCTCCGTAGTGTCACGTCCATAGCATGGTGTCCAGCGTAGGGTCTCCGTAGTGTCACCTCTACAGTGCGGTGTCCAGGGTAGGGTCTCCGTAGTGTCACGTCTATAGTGCGGTGTCCAGGGTAGGGTCTCCGTAGTGTCACGCTATAGTGAGGTGTCCAGGGTAGTGTCTCCCGTACTTTCACGTCTATAACGTTTTGTCCAGGGTAGTGTCTCCGTAGTGTCACGTCTATAGTGCGGTGTCCAGGGAAGTTTCTCCGTAGTGTCACGTCTATAGTGTGGTGTCCAGGGTAGGGTGTACGTAGTGTCACGTCTATACCGCGGTCTCAAGGGTAGGGTCTCCGTAGTGTTACGTCTATAGCGTGGTGTCCAGGGTAGGGTCTCCGTAGTGTCACGTCTATAACATGATGTCCAGCGTAGGATCTCCGTAGTCTCACGTCTATAGCGTAGTGTCTAGAGTAGGGTCTCCGTAGTGTCACGTCTATAGTGCGGTGTCCAGGGTAGTTTCTCCGTAGTGTCACGTCTATAGTGTGGTGTCCAGGGTAGGGTCTCCGTAGTGTCACGTCTATAGCGCGGTCTCAAGGGTAGGGTCTCCGTAGTGTTACGTCTATAGCGTGGTGTCCAGGTTAGGGTCTCCGTAGTGTCACGTCTATAGTGCGGTGTCCAGGGTAGTGTCTCCGTAGTGTCACGTCTATAGCGCGGTCTCAAGGGTAGGGTCTCCGTAGTGTCACGTCTATAACATGATGTCCAGCGTAGGATCTCCGTAGTCTCACATCTATAGCGTACAGTCTAGAGTAGGGTCTCCGTAGTGTCACGTCTATAGTGCGGTGTCCAGGGTAGGGTCTCCGTAGTGTCACGTCTATAGCGTAGTGTCCAGGGTAGGGTCTCCGTAGTGTCACGTCTATAGTGCGGTGTCCAGGGTAGGCTCTTCACGCCGAAGACCTGGGTTCGATTCCCCCCATGAGTACAATGTGTGAAGCCCATTTCTGGTGTCCCACGCCTTGACATTGCGGCGTAAAATCATACTCATCCACTCTCTGACATCATCGCTGCAGGTCTCCGCGCGTTGTCTGTTTCAGCACCATCACCATCCTCGCACGTGACCTTAGACCCCAAGCACGTGTTTGTGCGCATGCTCGGGACCGCGTCCGCTGGCCGGGTGGACGTGTACGCCAATGGCGAGTGGGGGTCAATCTGCGACGACCACTGGGACAACAAAGATGCCAGTGTGGTGTGCTCCATGCTCGGGTATAACAGGTGGGTCATCGTCCACCCGTATGTACATACAGAAGTCAACATGTACCCGTAAATTCATAAAGATGTCGCCATGTATTCGCAAATGCATACAGATCATCGTCCACCCGTAAATACACCATCTGTCCGGATATACATACATGTATATTTCACATCGTACCCGTACATATGCACATCTGTCAAAATGTGCCCTCGTCACCACGAACCCTTGTGAAAAAGGCAGTCGTCACCACATACCCGCACACACACTCGCAGTTGTCCCCACATACCCGCACACACACTCGCAGTTGTCACCACATACCCGCTCACACACACGCAGTCGTCACCACATACCCGCACACACACTCGCAGTTGTCACCACATACCCGCACACACACTCGCAGTTGTCACCACATACCCGCACACACACCCGCAGTCGTCACCACATACCCGCACACACACCCGCAGTCGTCACCACATACCCGCACACACACTCGCAGTCGTCACCACATACCCGCACACACACTCGCAGTTGTCACCACATACCCGCACACACACACCCGCAGTCGTCACCTTATTCATATACAGGACTTCGTTAGCATATACATACACATTTCTCTAAGTGTACCCGCGCAAGAGGCAATTGTCAACATGTATTCATGTCCACTTTACAGTCTACATGCATACACGCTTGTCGACAGCTACACGCGTGTCACCACTTCCTCCGCCGACCGACACCGCGGTGCTGTATTAGAACGTGAATGACATGCCCAGCTCTGATACAACTAATTCCATCCCATCGCCTACCCTACCCCACAGAGAGAACGCCCTGGCCACATCCAGTGTGAAGGTGTCATCGGGCACGGGCCTCATCTACATGGACGAAGTGAACTGTACCGGTACGGAAACTCACATCGTACAGTGCGGCTTCACCGAGGACAACTGGGCCAAGTCCGACTGCACCCACCAAGAGGACGCCGGGATCACGTGTGAACTCCGTGAGTGGGCGGGGCTACCACTGTACACACGACGCGATTGCCTAATGACACTGATGGGCGGGGTAGTCATTCAAATGGTTGGGGAAGTTTCCTTTCAACGCCTTGTGTGGGCGGGGTTTCTTCTATTGACGTTGGGTGGGCGGGTTTTCCTTCAAACACACTGAATGGGCGGGCTTTCCTTCGATCCCTCTGAATGGGTGGGATTTGTTGTAAACACGCTGAGTGGGCGGGATTTGTCGTAAACACTTTGGTGGCTGGGGTTTCCTGTAAACACGTTTGGTGGATTGAGTTTCTTGTAAATATTGTGTGGGTGGTATTCTCTGTCCTGTATATACGTTTGGTGGATTGAGTTTCTTGTAAATATTGTGTGGGTCGTATTCTCTGTCCTGTATATACGTTTGGTGGATTGAGTTTCTTGTAAATATTGTGTGGGTCGTATTCTCTGTCCTGTATATACGTTCGTCGGCATGTGGCCAGGTTCAATGGCCAGGTTTCTGTAAACGCGTAAAGTGGGCGGGGTTTCATGTGAACACGATGTGTGGGCGTAGTTTCATGTAAACACGTTGAGTGGGCGATGTTTCATGGAAACACGTTGCGCTGCTAGGGTTTATTTCCAACACGTTGAGTGGGCGGGGTTCCTTGTAAACACGTTGAGTGGGCGGGGTTTCTTGTAAACACGTTGTGTGGGCGGGGTTTATTCTAAACACATTGCGTGGGTGGGGTTTCTTGTAAACACGTTGCGTTGCAAGGGTTTCCTTAAGAATCTGGAGTGTTTGGGGTTTCTTGTAAATACGATGAGTGGGCGGGGCTTCTTGTGAACACGTGGAGTGGGCGATGTTTCATGTAAACATGTTGCGTTGCTAGGGTTTCCTTCACGTGGAGTGGGCGGGGTTTATTTTAAACGCGATGTGTGGGCGGGATTTCATGTGAACACTTTAAGTGGGCGATGTTTCATGTAAACACGTTGCGTTGCACGTGTTTTCTTCACGTGGAGTGGGCGAGGTTTGTTAACACGCTGAATGGGTTGGATTTCCTGTAACGTTTTTGAATGGGCAAGGTGTCCTGTTTAGACGTTATGTAGGGTGGGGATTCCTGTTTAGGCGTTTAGACGTTATGTGAGGTGGGGTTTCCCGTGAACACGTTGAGTGGCCGGGGTGTCCTGTTTAAAGGCTATGTGAGATGGGGTTTCCCGTGAACACGTTGAGTGGCCGGGGTGTCCTGTTTAGAGGCTATGTGAGATGGGGTTTCCCATGAACACATTGAGTGGCCGGGGTGTCCTGTTTAGAGGCTATGTGAGATGGGGTTTCCCATGAACACATTGAGTGGCCGGGGTGTCCTGTTTAGAGGCTATGTGAGATGGGGTTTCCCATGAACACATTGAGTGGCCGGGGTGTCCTGTTTAGAGGCTATGTGAGATGGGGTTTCCCATGAACACATTGAGTGGCCGGGGTGTCCTGTTTAGAGGCTATGTGAGATGGGGTTTCCCATGAACACATTGATTGGCCGGGGTGTCCTGTTTAGAGGGTATGTGAGATGGGGTTTCCCATGAACACATTGAGTGGCCGGGGTGTCCTGTTTAGAGGCTATGTGAGATGGGGTTTCCCATGAGCACGTTGAGTGGACAGCGTGTCCTGTTTAGAGGGTATGTGAGATGGGGTGTCCCGTGAACACATTGAGTTGACAGCGTGTCCTGTTTAGAGGGTATGTGAGATGGGGTGTCCCGTGAACACATTGAGTGGACAGCGTGTCCTGATTAGAGGCTATGTGAGATTGGGTTTCCCATGAACACGTTGAGTGGACGGAGCGTCCTGTTTAGAGGCTTTGTTGGCTGGGGTTTGACTGAGTCACCTACTTCCTCCCTGAAGTTGCCGATTAAAGTGTTCTGTTATCACCATGGTTGCCAACAGCACAGACTCCAGACAACTTCCTCATTTTCACCGACGTGTACAGCGGACACCTGTTCAGGATGGACATGGAGAGCTTCAGTTTCACCGCCATACCCCAACCGTCCAGCCCAAACCCCGTCGCTCTCACCTACGATGACGTCACAAAACAAGTTTTCTACTCTGAGGTTGTGCCCAACCCGGGCAGTCAAATAAGAAGCGTTGGCATAGACGGCAGCGGCGTGAAGGTCGTCAAACAACTGAGCAATGGTGAGTCAAGCAACTGAACAATGGTAAGTCAAACAACTGGACAATCAAACAACTGAACAATAGTAAGTCAAACAACTGGACAATGGTGAGTCAAATAACTGAGCAATGGTGAGTCAAGCAACTGAACAATGGTAAGTCAAACAACTGAACGATGGTAACTCAAACAAACCGAACAATGGTAGGTCAAACAACTGAACAATAGTAAGTCAAACAACTGGACAATAGTAAGTCAAACAACTGAGCAATGGTGAGTCAAACAACTGAACAATGGTAACTCAAACAAACCGAACAATGGTAAGTCAAACAACTGAGCAATGGTGAGTCAAGCAACTGAGCAATGGTAGGTCAAACAACCGAACAATGGTAAGTCAAAAACCACACACACATGGGAAACGACACACAGACGTGGGAAACCACACACACATGGGAAACCACACACACATGGGAAACCACACACAAATGGGAAACCACACAACCATGGGAAACCACACAGACATGGACAACCACACAGACACGGGAAACCACACACATGGGAAACCACACAGACATGGGAAACCACACAGACATGGGAAACCACACAGACACGGGAAACCACAGACATGGGAAACCACACACACATGGGAAACCACACAGACAGGGGAAACCAAACAGGCATGGGAAGCCACACAGGCACGAGGAAACCACACACACATGGGAAACCACACAGACATCGGAAACCACACACTCATGGGAAACCACACAGACACGGAAAACAACACAGACACGGGAAACCACACAGACACGGGAAACAGCACAGACATTGGAAACCACACGGACACGGAAAACAACATAGACATGGGAACAACACAGACATGGGGAAACCACACAGACATGGGAAGCCACACAGGCACGAGAAAACCACACACACATGGGAAACCACACAGACATGGGAAACCACACACACACACATGGGAAACCACACAGACATTGGAAACCACACACTCGTGGGAAACCACACAGACATGGGAAACCACACAGACATGGGAACAACACAGACATGGGAAACCAGACAGACGAGGGAAACCACACAGACACGGGAAACATCACAGACATTGGAAACCACACAGACACGGAAAACAACACAGACATGGGAACAACACAGACATGGGGAGATCACACACACATAGGAAACCACACACACATGGGAAACCACACACACACACACACACACACACACGGGAAACCACACAGACACGGGAAACAGCACAGACACGGGAAGCCGCACAGACATGGGAAACAGCACAGACACGGAAAACCACACAGACATGGGAAGCCACACAGGCACGAGGAAACCACATACACATGGGAAACCACACAGACATGGGTAGATCACACAGACATGGGAAACAACACAGACATGGGGAGATCACACACACATGGGAAACCACACACACATGGGTAACCACACACACACACACGGGAAACCACACAGACATGGCAAACCACACACTCATGGGAAACCACACAGACACGGGAAACAGAAAAGGCATGGGAAACCACACAGACATGGGAAGCCACACAGACGAGGGAAACCACACACTCATGGGAAACCACACAGACATTGGAAACCACACACTCATGGGAAACCACACACACATGGGAAACCACACAGACATGGGAAACCACACAGACATGGGAAGAACACAGTCATGGGGAGATCACACACACATAGGAAACCACACACACATGGGAAACCACACACACATGGGAAACCACACAGACACGGAAAACAACACAGACACGGGAAACCACACCGACACGGAAAACAGCACAGACATGGGAAGACCACACAGACACGGAAAACAGCACAGACATGGGAAACCACACACACATGGGAAACCACACAGGCACGAGGAAACCACACACACATGGCAAACTACACACACATGGGAAACCACACAGACATGGGAAACCACACACACATGGGAAACCACACACACATGGGAAACCACACTCACATGGGAAACTACACACACATGGGAAACCACACAGACATGGGAAACCACACAGACATGGGAAACAGCACAGACATGGGAAGACCACACAGACACGGAAAACAACACAGACAGGGAATCCACACAGTCATGGGAAACCACACAGACATTGGAAACCACACACTCGTGGGAAACCACAAAGACATGGGAAACCACACAGACATGGGAACAACACAGACATCGGAAACCACACAGACGAGGGAAACCACACAGACATTGGAAACCACACACATGGGAAACCACACACACATGGGAAACCACACTCACATGGGAAACTACACACACATGGGAAACCACACAGACATGGGAAACAGCACAGACATGGGAAACAGCACAGACATGGGAAGACCACACAGATACGGAAAACAACACAGACAGGGAATCCACACAGTCATGGGAAACCACACAGACATTGGAAACCACACAGACATGGGGAGATCTCACAGACACGGAAAACCACACAGACATGGGAAACCACATAGTCATGGGGAAACCACACAGACATTGGAAACCACACAGACATGGGGAGATCACCCAGACATGGGAATCCACACAGACATTGGAAACCACACAGACATGGGGAGATCTCACAGACATGGAAAACCACACAGACATGGGAAACCACACAGACGAGGGAAACAGCACAGACATGGACAACCACACAGACACGGGAAACCACACAGACATTGGAAACCACACAGGCACGAGGAAACCACACAGACGACGGAAACCACACAGACGAGGGAAACAGCACAGACATGGGAAACCACACAGACATAGGAAACCACACAGACATGGGAAGCCACACAGACATGGGAAACCACAGAGACATGGGAAACCACGCAGACATGGGAAACCACACACACATGGGAAACCACACAGACATGGGGAAACCACACAGACACGGAAAACAACACAGACACGGGAACAACACAGACATTGGAAACCACACACACATGGGAAACCACACACACAAACACGGGAAACCACACAGACATTGGAAACCACACACTCATGGGAAACCACACAGACGAGGGAAACCACACAGACACGGGAAACAACACAGACATGGGAACAACACAGACATTGGGAGATCACACACACATAGGAAACCACACACACATGGGAAACCACACACACATGGGAAACCACACAGACACGGAAAACAACACAGACATGGGAAACCACACAGACACGGAAAACAGCACAGACATGGGAAGACCACACAGACACGGAAAACAGCACAGACATTGGAAACCACACACGCATGGGAAACCACACAGGCACGAGGAAACCACACAGACATGGGAAACCACACAGACATGGGAAACCACACACACACACATGGGAAACCACACAGACATTGGAAACCACACACTCATGGGAAACCACACAGACATGGGAAACCACACAGACATGGGAAGACCACACAGACACGGAAAACAACACAGACAGGGATCCACACAGTCATGGGAAACCACACAGACATGGACAACCACACAGACATGGGAAACCACACAGACATGGGAAACCCCACAGACATTGGAAACCACACAGACATGGGGAGATCTCACAGACACGGAAAATCACACAGACATGGGAAACCACATAGTCATGGGGAAACCACACAGACATTGGAAACCACACAGACATGGGGAGATCACCCAGACATGGGAATCCACACAGACATTGGAAACCACACAGACAGGGGAAACCACACTCACATGGGAAACTACACACACATGGGAAACCACACAGACATGGGAAACCACACAGATATGGGAAACAGCACAGACATGGGAAGACCACACAGTCATGGGAAACCACACACACATGGGAAACCACACAGACATGGGGAAACCACATAGTCATGGGAAACCACACACTCGTGGGAAACCACACAGACATGGGCAACCACTCAGACACGGGAAACCACACACATGGGAAACCACACAGACATGGGAAGCCACACATGCACGAGGAAACCACACACACATGGGAAACCACACACACATTGGAATCCACACAGACATGGGAAGCCACACAGGCACGAGGAATCACGCAGCCATGGATGGTTGTAACGTACAGACACGGGGAACCACGCAGCCATTGATGGTTGTAGCGTACAGACACGGGGAACCGCACAGCCATTGATGGTTGTAACGTACAGACACGGGGAACCACGCAGCCATGGATGGTTGTAAAGTACAGACACGGGGAACCGCACAGCCATTGATGGTTGTAACGTACAGACACGGGGAACCACGCAGCCATGGATGGTTGTAAAGTACAGACACGGGGAACCGCACAGCCATTGATGGTTGTAAAGTACAGACACGGGGAACCGCACAGCCATTGATGGTTGTAACGTACAGACACGGGGAACCACGCAGCCATGGATGGTTGTAAAGTACAGACACGGGGAACCGCACAGCCATTGATGGTTGTAACGTACAGACACGGGGAACCACGCAGCCATGGATGGTTGTAAAGTACAGACACGGGGAACCGCACAGCCATTGATGGTTGTAAAGTACAGACACGGGGAACCGCACAGCCATTGATGGTTGTAAAGTACAGACACGGGGAACCGCACAGCCATTGATGGTTGTAACGTACAGACACGGGGAACCGCACAGCCATTGATGGCTGTAACGTACAGACACGGGGAACCGCACAGCCATTGATGGTTGTAAAGTACAGACACGGGGAACCGCACAGCCATTGATGGTTGTAACGTACAGACACGGGGATCCACGCAGCCATTGATGGTTGTAACGTACAGACACGGGGAACCGCACAGCCATTGATGGTTGTAACGTACAGACACGGGGAACCACACAGCCATTGATGGTTGTAACGTACAGACACGGGGAACCACACAGCCATTGATGGTTGTAACGTACAGACACGGGGAACCACGCAGCCATTGATGGCTGTAACGTACAGACACGGGGAACCGCACAGCCATTGATGGTTGTTACGTACAGACACGGGGAACCGCACAGCCATTGATGGTTTTTAACGTACACAGTCTTACAGATAACGTAGTGGAGGCCTATTTGCTTGCAGCTTTCATAAAAAATGAAAGGGGGGTTTTGACATTTTGTAATTGGTTTTAACCTTGCTTTCTGTTGCAGGAACTGTCCCAGATGGGTTAGCAGTGGATGCAGCAGCGGCAAAACTCTTCTATACAGACGCCGGAAGTGACGTCATTGCCTGGACGTCGTTGGACGGAACTGGACAGACAGTAATAGCTCATGACAAACTCGACCAGCCCAGAGGAATCGTGCTGGACACAGCTAACCAGTCAGTAGTGTCTAAATGTGGATGACGTGTTATTTTACTACTGTGATAGGTTAATAGAGTCAGGAATAGAGTCAGAAAAAACAGAAAAACAGTGAGTGCGTGCGTGCGTGCGTGCGTGCGTGCGTGCGTGCGTGCGTTCGTGCGTGCGTGAGTGAGTGAGTGAGTGAGTGAGTGAGTGAGAATCACATGCTGGGTAAGAGTTGAACCGTCATTTTCCAGAGTGGTGTTCTGGACGGACTGGGGCCAGACGCCGAAGATCGAGAGCGCGGACTACTCTGGGGCAAACAGAAAAACTATCGTATCCACCGGCATCCAACTGCCCAACGGTCTGGCAATAGACTTGAAGGGTAGGTCACGTGTCACTTTTCCAGCATACAGAGGTGACGTCTTCCCATGTTACGAGGAGGTCACATGTTTGTGGTAGTGCGGGGGAACTGTACTTGTCTGTGTGTGGTAGTGCGGGGGAACTGTAGTTGTATGTGTGTGATAGTGAGTGGAAACCGTACTTGTCATTGTGTGGTAGTGCGGGGGAACTGTACTTGTCATTGTGTGGTAGTGAGGGGTAACTGTAGTTGTCTGTTTGTGGTAGTGACGGGAAACTGTACTTGTCTGTTTGTGGTAGTGACGGGAAACTGTAGTTGTCTGTTTGTGGTAGTGGCGGGAAACTGTACTTGTCTGTTTGTGGTAGTGACGGGAAACTGTAGTTGTCTGTTTGTGGTAGTAAGGGGGAACTGTAGTTGTCTGTTTGTGGTAGTGAGGGGGAACTGTAGTTGTCTGTGTGTGGTAGTGAGGGGGAACTGTAGTTGTCTGTTTGTGGTAGTGAGGGGAAACTGTAGTTGTCTGTGTGTGGTAGTGAGGGGAAACTGTAGTTGTCTGTGTGTGGTAGTGAGGGGTAACTGTAGTTGTCTGTTTGTGGTAGTGACGGGAAACTGTACTTGTCTGTTTGTGGTAGTGACGGGAAACTGTAGTTGTCTGTTTGTGGTAGTGGCGGGAAACTGTACTTGTCTGTTTGTGGTAGTGACGGGAAACTGTAGTTGTCTGTTTGTGGTAGTGACGGGAAACTGTTGTTGTCTGTTTGTGGTAGTAAGGGGGAACTGTAGTTGTCTGTGTGTGGTAGTGAGGAGGAACTGAAGTTGTCTGTTTGTGGTAGTGAGGGGGAACTGTAGTTGTCTGTGTGTGGTAGTAAGGGGTAACTGTAGTTGTCTGTGTGTGGTAGTGAGGGGGAACTATAGTTGTCTGTGTGTGGTAGTGAGGGGTAACTGTAGTTGTCTGTGTGTGGTAGTGAGGGGTAACTGTAGTTGTCTGTGTGTGGTAGTGAGGGGGAACTGTAGTTGTCTGTGTGTGGTAGTGAGGGGGAACTGTAGTTGTCTGTTTGTGGTAGTGAGGGGGAACTGTAGTTGTCTGTGTGTGGTAGTAAGGGGGAACTGTAGTTGTCTGTGTGTGGTAGTGAGGGGAAACTGTAGTTGTATGTGTGTGGTAGTGAGGGGGAACTGTAGTTGTCTGTGTGTGGTAGTGAGGGGGAACTATGGTTGTCTGTGTGTGGTAGTGAGGGGGAACTGTAGTTGTCTGTGTGGTAGTGAGGGGGAACTGTAGTTGTCTGTTTGTGGTAGTGAGGGGGAACTGTAGTTGTCTGTGTGTGGTAGTGAGGGGGAACTGTAGTTGTCTGTTTGTGGTAGTGAGGGGGAACTGTAGTTGTCTGTGTGTGGTAGTAAGGGGGAACTGTAGTTGTCTGTGTGTGGTAGTGAGGGGGAACTGTAGTTGTCTGTTTGTGGTAGTGAGGGGTAACTGTAGTTGTCTGTTTGTGGTAGTGAGGGGGAACTGTAGTTGTCATTGTGTGGTAGTGAGGGGGAACTGTACTTGTCATTGTGTGGTAGTGAGGGGGAACTGTAGTTGTCTGTTTGTGGTAGTGAGGGGAAACTGTAGTTGTCTGTGTGTGGTAGTGAGGGGGAACTGTAGTTGTATGTGTGTGGTAGTGAGGGGGAACTGTAGTTGTCTGTGTTTGGTAGTGAGGGGAAACTGTAGTTGTCTGTGTGTGGTAGTGAGGGGGAACTGTAGTTGTCTGTGTGTGGTAGTCAGGGGACACTGTAGTTGTCTGTTTGTGGTAGTGAGGGGGAACTGTAGTTGTCTGTGTTTGGTAGTGAGGGGAAACTGTAGTTGTCTGTGTGTGGTAGTCAGGGGACACTGTAGTTGTCTGTGTGTGGTAGTGAGGGGGAACTGTAGTTGTCTGTTTGTGGTAGTGAGGGGGAACTGTAGTTGTCTGTGTGTGGTAGTGAGGGGGAACTGTAGTTGTCTGTGTGTGGTAGTGAGGGGGAACTGTAGTTGTCTGTTTGTGGTAGTGAGGGGGAACTGTAGTTGTCTGTTTGTGGTAGTAAGGGGAAACTGTAGTTGTCTGTGTGTGGTAGTGAGGGGGAACTGTAGTTGTCTGTTTGTGGTAGTAAGGGGAAACTGTAGTTGTCTGTGTGTGGTAGTGAGGGGGAACTGTAGTTGTCTGTGTTTGGTAGTGAGGGGAAACTGTAGGTGTCTGTGTGTGGTAGTGAGGGGGAACTGTAGTTGTCTGTTTCTGGTAGTGAGGGGGAACTGTAGTTGTCTGTGTTTGGTAGTGAGGGGGAACTGTAGTTGTCTGTTTGTGGTAGTAAGGGGAAACTGTAGTTGTCTGTGTGTGGTAGTGAGGGGGAACTGTAGTTGTCTGTGTTTGGTAGTGAGGGGAAACTGTAGTTGTCTGTGTGTGGTTCTGAGGGGAAACTGTAGTTGTCTGTGTGTGGTAGTGAGGGGGAACTGTAGTTGTCTGTGTTTGGTAGTGAGGGGAAACTGTAGGTGTCTGTGTGTGGTAGTGAGGGGGAACTGTAGTTGTCTGTGTGTGGTAGTGAGGGGGAACTGTAGTTGTCTGTGTGTGGTAGTGAGGGGGAACTGTAGTTGTCTGTGTGTGGTAGTAAGGGGGAACTGTAGTTGTCTGTGTGTGGTAGTGAGGGGGAACTGTAGTTGTCTGTTTGTGGTAGTGAGGGGGAACTGTAGTTGTCTGTGTGTGGTAGTGAGGGGGAACTGTAGTTGTCTGTTTGTGGTAGTGAGGGGGAACTGTAGTTGTCTGTGTGTGGTAGTGAGGGGGAACTGTACTTGTCATTGTGTGGTAGTGAGGGGGAACTGTAGTTGTCTGTGGGTGGTAGTGAGGGGGAACTGTAGTTGTATGTGTGTGGTAGTGAGGGGGAACTGTAGTTGTCTGTGTGTGGTAGTGACGGGAAACTGTAGTTGTCTGTGTGTGGTAGTCAGGGGACACTGTAGTTGTCTGTGTGTGGTAGTGACGGGAAACTGTAGTTGTCTGTGTGTGGTAGTGAGGGGAAACTGTAGTTGTCTGTTTGTGGTAGTGAGGGGAAACTGTAGTTGTCTGTGTGTGGTAGTGAGGGGGAACTGTAGTTGTATGTGTGTGGTAGTGAGGGGGAACTGTAGTTGTCTGTGTGTGGTAGTGACGGGAAACTGTAGTTGTCTGTGTGTGGTAGTCAGGGGACACTGTAGTTGTCTGTGTGTGGTAGTGAAGGGAAACTGTAGTTGTCTGTGTTTGGTAGTGAGGGGAAACTGTAGTTGTCTGTGTGTGGTAGTGAGGGGGAACTGTAGTTGTCTGTGTGTGGTAGTGAGGGGGAACTGTAGTTGTCTGTGTGTGGTAGTCAGGGGACACTGTAGTTGTCTGTGTGTTGTAGTGAAGGGAAACTGTAGTTGTCTGTGTGTGGTAGTGAGGGGAAACTGTAGTTGTCTGTGTGAGGTAGTGAGGGGAAACTGTAGTTGTCTGTGTGAGGTAGTGAGGGGAAACTGTAGTTGTCTGTGTGTGGTAGTGAAGGGGAACTGTAGTTGTATGTGTGTGGTAGTGAGGGGGAACTGTAGTTGTCTGTTTGTGGTAGTGAGGGGGAACTGTAGTTGTCTGTGTGTGGTAGTGAGGGGGAACTGTAGTTGTCTGTGTGTGGTAGTAAGGGGGAACTGTAGTTGTCTGTGTGTGGTAGTGAGGGGGAACTGTAGTTGTCTGTGTGTGGTAGTGAGGGGAAACTGTAGTTGTCTGTGTGAGGTAGTGAGGGGAAACTGTAGTTGTCTGTTTGTGGTAGTGAGGGGGAACTGTAGTTGTCTGTGTGTGGTACTGAGGGGAAACTGTAGTTGTCTGTGTGTGGTAGTGAGGGGAAACTGTAGTTGTCTGTTTGTGGTAGTGAGGGGAAACTGTAGTTGTCTGTTTGTGGTAGTGAGTGGAAACTGTACTTGTTTGTTTGTGGAAGTAAGTGGAAACTGTAGTTGTCTGTTTGTGGTAGTGAGGGGGAACTGTAGTTGTCTGTTTGTGGTAGTGAGGGGAAACTGTAGTTGTCTGTGTGTGGTAGTGAGGGGGAACTGTAGTTGTATGTGTGTGGTAGTGAGGGGGAACTGTAGTTGTCTGTGTGTGGTACTGAGTGGAAACTGTAGTTGTCTGTTTGTGGTACTGAGTGGAATCTGTACTTGTCTGTTTGTGGTAGTGACGGGAAACTATAGTTGTCTGTTTGTGGTAGTGAGGGGAAACTGTAGTTGTCTGTTTGTGGTAGTGACGGGAAACTGTAGTTGTCTGTTTGTGGTAGTGAGGGGGAACTGTAGTTGTCTGTGTGTGGTTCTGAGGGGAAACTGTAGTTGTCTGTGAGTGAGTGAGTGAGTGAGTATGGTTTTACGCCGCTTTAGCAATATTCCAGCAATATTACGGCGGGGGACACCAGTAGTGGGCTTCACACATTGTACCCATGTCGGGAATTGAACCCGGGTCTTCGGCGTGACGAGCGAACGCCTTAACCACTAGGCTACCCGACCGCCCGTGTGGTAGTGAGGGGGAACTGTTGTTGCCTCTGTGTGGTAGTGAGGGGAAACTATATTTGTCTGTGTGTGGTAGTGATGGCAAACTGGATGAATTTGAAGGAACAAATTGTAGTTTTAGATATGTCTTGAAATTTTGCTAAATGTGTGTGTGTGTGTGTGTTTGGGTGTGTGTTTGGGTTGCTAAGGGCCGTTCTAACCGGAATGTTCACGGTTCTGTATTGAGTAGACGAGTCAAATGCATGGCCTCCAGGCTCGGCGCGATGTGGGTGCACATGTTGTTGATGCAGTGTCTGTTTCCATGTATTGCAGCTGGTCGTTTGTACTTTTGTGACGCGGGCACACATCAGATCGAGGCTGTTGACCTTGATGGTGGAAACCGGAAGGTCATCTATCAAGACAACTCAGCTCACTTCTACGGACTCGCTTTGTCCGACAAATACATCTTCTACTCTGACTGGAACAAAAGGTGAATGTCTCTGTTAGTCAGCATGTTCGAATCTCCCTGTGTCTATATATATTACCACCTGTGTATTCCTCGCCATATATTAATATATTACTAGCTGTGTATTCCTCGCTATGTATTCTTCGCAGTGTATTACTAGCTGTGTATTCCTCGCTATGTATTACTAGCTGTATATTCCTCGCTATGTATTACTAGCTGTATATTCCTCGCTGTGTATTCTTCCCTGTGTATTCCTCCCTATATATTACTAGTTTTGTATTCCTCGCTATGTATTACTAGCTGTGTATTTCTCGCCATGTATAACTAGCCGTGTATTCCTCGCTGTGTATTACTAGCTGTGTATTCCTCGCTGTGTATTCCGCGCTATATATTACTAGCTTTGTATTCTTCGCTATGAATTACTAGCTGTGTATTTCTCGCCATGTATTCCTCACTGTGTATTACTAGCTGTGTATTCCTCGCTATATATTACTAGCTTTGTATTCTTCGCTATGTATTACTAGCTGTGTATTCCTCGCTATGTATTCCTCACTGTGTATTACTAGCTGTGTATTCCTCGCTATGTATTACTAGCTGTGTATTACTAGCTTTCTATTCCTCGCCATGTATTCCCCGGCTTGTATTCCTCGCTTTGTATTCTTCACCGTGTATTACTAGCTTTGTATTCCTCGCCATGTATTACTAGCTCTTTATTCCTCGCTGTGTATTCCTTGCTTTGTATTCTTCACCATATATTACTAGCTATGTGTTCCTTGCTGTGTATTACTAGCTCTTTATTCCTCGTCATGTATTACTAGATGTGTATTCCTCGCTATGTATTCCTCACTGTGTATTACTAGCTGTGTATTGCTCGCTATGTATTACTAGCTGTGTATTACTAGCTTTCTATTCCTCGCCTTGCATTCCTCGCTTTGTATTTTTTGCAGTACATTACTAGCTATGTGTTCCTCGCTGTGTATTACTAGCTTTGTATTCCTCGCCATGTATTACTAGCTGTGTATTCCTCACTTTGTATTCTTCGCCGTATATTACTAGCTATGTGTTCCTTGCTTTGTATTACTAGCTTTGTATTCCTCGCCATGTATAACTAGCTGTGTATTCCTCGCTTTGTATTCTTCGCCGTATATTACTAGCTATGTGTTCCTCGCTGTGTATTACTAGCTTTGTATTCCTCGCCATGTATTACTAGCTGTGTATTCCTCGCTTTGTATTCTTCGCCGTATATTACTAGCTATGTGTTCCTCGCTGTGTATTACTAGCTTTGTATTACTAGCTGTGTATTTCTCGCCATGTATTCCTTGTTATGTATTCCTCGCTAAATATTACAAATTGTGTATTCCTCGCTTTGTATTCCTCCCTATGTATCACTAGCTGTGTATTCCTTGCTATGTACTACCTGTGTATTCGTCGCTATGTATTACTAGCTGTGTATTCTTCGCTATGTATCACTAGCTGTGTAATCCTCGTTATGTATCTGTCACCATGTATTACTACCTGTGTATTCCTCGCTGTGTATTCCTCGCTATGTATTACTAGCTTTGTATTCCTCGCTATGTATTACTGGCTGTGTCTTCCTCGCTACGTATTACTAGCTGTGTATTCCTCGCTATGTATTACTAGCTGTGTATTCCTCGCTATGTATTACTAGCTGTGTCTTCCTCGCTACGTATTACTAGCTTTGTATTCCTTGTTTTGTATTACTAGTTGTGTCTTCCTCGCTATGTATTACCAGCTTTGTATTCCTTGCTTTGTGCTGCTAGCTGTGTATTCCTCGCTATGTATTACCAGCTTTGTATTCCTCGCTATGTATTACTAGCTTTGTATTCCTCGCTATGTATTACTACCTGTGTATTTCTCGCTTTGTATTCCTCGCTATGTATTACTAGCTTTGTATTACTAGCTTTGTATTCCTCGTCATGTATTACTACCTGTGTAATCCTCGTAATGTATCCGTCACCATGTATTACTACCTGTGTTTTCCTCGCTGTGTATTCCTCGCTATGTATTACTAACTGTGTATTCCTCGCTATGCATTACTAGCTTTGTATTACTAGCTGTGTATTCCTCGCTATGTAATACTATCTATGAATTACTGGCTTTGTATTCCTCGCTATGTATTACTGGTTATGTATTACTGGATGTGTGTTACTAGCTGTGTATTCCTCGCTTTGTATTCCTCGCTGTGTATTCCTCACCATGTATTCCTCGCTATTTAGTACTAGCTGTGTATTCCTTGCTATGTATTACTAGCTGTGTCTGGTGTTGACAGTCGGGGAGGGGAAGGAGTGAAGAGTATGGGAGATTGGTGGTTTGTGGAGGAGGGGAAGGTGGCTCGGGGGCAGTTGTTTAGTAGAGATGGGAGGGGAAGGTGGCTCGGGGGCAGTTGTTTAGTGTAGATGGGAGGGGAAGGTGGCTCGGGGGCAGTTGTTTTTGTAGAGACGGGAGGGGAAGGGGAAGGGAGGGTGTTACATTCACATTGTAAGCAAGATTGGGTCTTATTCCTGGCGATTCTGTCCCAGCGGCCTGATGAAGATCAACAGGGACGGGACAGGCAACGCCATGGCCGGACCCCCGGGATTCTCCAGGATCAACGCCCTCGCCGCCTACCAGGTACAAGCGTAGGATGTTCTCCCCTCCACTCCACACGCTGACGGCTGTATAGTTCATGTACCTTTTTAAACAACGGTTAACAACAACAAAAATTATCCAGCAATGGTGGTTTTGTTATTTTTCGGAAATCAGGCTGTTCATGTGATCTTGAAGAGGGGAGATAACTTTTTGTTGCTCATTACCCTGGAATTGTTGTTTTGGTTGTTTGGCGTTGGTAGGAAACTGACATTAATCTTAGTGGTGAAAATAGAAGTATCAGTAGTAGCACCTGGGACACACAAGTCGACCATTCCCCCCTGGGACACACAAGTCAAACATTCCCCCCTGGGACACACACGTCAACCATTCCCCCCTGGGACACACAAGTCAAACATTTCCACCTGGGACACACAAGTCGAACATTCCCACCTGGGACACACAAGTCGAACATTCCCACCTGGGACACACAAGTCGAACATTCCCACCTGGGACACACAAGTCAAACATTCCCACCTGGGACACACAGGTCGAACATTCCCACCTTGGATGCACGAATCGAACATTCCCATCTGGGATGCACGAGTCGGACATTCCCATCTGGGACACACGAGTCGAACATTCCCATCTGGGTTGCACGAGTAGAACATTCCCATCTGGGATGCACAAGTCAAACATCTCCACCTGGGACACACAAGTCGAACATTCCCACCTTGGATGCACGAGTAGAACATTCCCATCTGGGATGCACAAGTTGGACATTCCCACCTGGGTTGCACAAGTCGAACATTCCCATCTGGGATGCACGAGTCGAACATTCCCACCTGGGACACACGAGTCGAACATTCCCATCTGGGATGCACGAGTCGGACATTCCCACCTTGGATGCACGAGTCGAACATTCCCATCTGGGACACACGAGTCGAACATTCCCATCTGGGACACACGAATCGAATATTCCCATCTGGGATGCACAAGTCGAACATTCCCATCTGGGATGCACGAGTCGGACATTCCCATCTGGGTTGCACGAGTAGAACATTCCCATCTGGGATGCACAAGTCAAACATTCCCATCTGGGACACACGAGTCGAACATTCCCATCTGGGACACACGAGTCGAACATTCCCATCTGGGACACACGAATCGAACATTCCCATCTGGGATGCACAAGTCAAACATTCCCATCTGGGACACACGAATCGAACATTCCCACCTGGGACACACGAGTCGAACATTCCCATCTGGGATGCACGAGTCGGACATTCCCACCTTGGATGCACGAGTCGAACATTCCCATCTGGGACACACGAGTCGAACATTCCCATCTGGGACACACGAATCGAACATTCCCATCTGGGATGCACAAGTCGAACATTCCCATCTGGGATGCACGAGTCGGACATTCCCATCTGGGTTGCACGAGTAGAACATTCCCATCTGGGATGCACAAGTCAAACATCTCCACCTGGGACACACAAGTCGAACATTCCCACCTGGGACACACAAGTCGAACATTCCCACCTTGGATGCACGAGTAGAACATTCCCATCTGGGATGCACAAGTTGGACATTCCCACCTGGGTTGCACAAGTCGAACATTCCCATCTGGGATGCACGAGTCGAACATTCCCATCTGGGATGCACGAGTCGGACATTCCCACCTTGGATGCACGAGTCGAACATTCCCATCTGGGACACACGAGTCGAACATTCCCACCTGGGACACACAAGTCAAACATTCCCATCTGGGACACACGAATCGAACATTCCCATCTGGGATGCACAAGTCGAACATTCCCATCTGGGATGCACGAGTCGGACATTCCCATCTGGGACACACGAGTCGAACATTCCCATCTGGGATGCACAAGTCGAACATTCCCATCTGGGATGCACGAGTCGGACATTCCCACCTTGGATGCACAAGTCGAATATTCCCACCTGGGATGCACGAATCGGACATTCCCACCTGGGAAAAACGCACCAGTACACAAACAGCCAATACGCCATGCCCAGTTGACACCAATGCTTCACGAGGAGATGATGAATTGCTGATATTCCGACCACATCTTCGGGTACCATCACGGATGGCGTTGTCCACGTATTACAGTGACGATGTCAGCGACTGCAACATCAATTACTTCAACTGGAATTGTTATCGAGACGAAAGACGTGTAAAGCCTAATAAACTACACAAGGTCGTTGACCTATGTCTTGCAAAAACTTCAGAAAGTAGTTGATCTTGTCATCATCAAAAGCGGTGTGTATGTAAATGCCTGAAGCAAGTTACCCCCGCTCTACGGCCGGACACAGATGGTGCTGTGGGCAGAGAGAGGGGAATGTGGGCCTAATTGGGCGGACGAGAAGTTAATGATTATTACTGAGGTAAACATATTAGAACGTCAGATTCCGCTATACACACAGAGATGAGACGGACGCTCGGCAGCCGGAACAGGGGACTTTTAACATAGCTCTCTCCGATACAGCACCCTCCCCAGCAACCGCGGGTAAAGCATCACCACGTGACCCCTGCAACACAAAACTGGCACAATGTTTGTAAGCAATGTGTTTGTTGTGTAACCCAATCATAACAACTTGCTCCGTGTTGACATGTGCACGTGGACCGCCACGTTGATCTAGTGGTTAGAGCCTCTGCCCAGAGTGCGAAAGGGCGGTGGTTCGATCCCCGGGAGCGGCATCGGAAATGATGTTAAAACATTATGTCTGTTTTATACCCCAGCTGGCACACGGCATTAAGGGGGTGAAACAAGGACTGGTCGGGTCGGTGACTAGAGTACTGTATCTGAATGGGGAATGGCATAATACAGCTGGCATTACTGCGGACTAGTGCAACCAAGCAAGCACGCACGCACGCGCTCACACACACGCACGCACGCACGCACGTGTCGTATAAGTGCAATAATCTGGTTACGCCACCCCATCTCACCCCATCTCACCCCATCTCACCCCATCTCATCCCACCCCATCTAACCTCTCCTCACTTCAGGGGCACGGGTTGCCCAGTCGTCTAAGGCGCCGCGATTCGCTGTGCAGAGTTGCGTCCCTTGGGCACGCCAGAAACCTATGATTGTGGGTTCGAATCCCGATTATGTTTTTAGGTTTGTCAGCACCATAGCCGTGCTCGTGGGTTTCACCGAAGTGGTAAACGTCTGAGACCTGCATCACTTCGGGCTTTCCTCCCACATTAAGCTGAATCGCCGCGATATAACTGGAATACTGTTAAAAGCTGCGTTAAACCCAACTCACTCACTCACTCACTCACTTCACCTGTGTAGGTCGATCTGCGTATTTGCCCACGTCATCTGGTCCGTGCACGTGCTATGGGGCAGCGTGCCGGACTACCCTACACCAGGGGCATGGATGAACTGCTACCTCCGCATGACAACAAGGCTCCTGGCGCACATGCTCGTACTGATTTCATTTACTTTCAGCCAGCGAACCACAGTTGGTCCACAAGCTGTGTTATCCCCAGGTACCACCTAACATTCTGTATAATACACAAATACAAAATCTACTTGGGGAAATCTGTCACCAGGCATGTTTATTAAATATGTTTCAAGTTAATTGTCGATTTTAAAAATAGGATATGTTGAGCATTTCTTAGAATTTGAAATATCAGCACGTTTGCCAGTATGTATCAGAAAGAGTTTTTGAGACATGATTTCAACCAGGAAGATGATATAAAACTCTGATATCCAAACAGGAACAGACTCATCTAAAATATGGTTAATAAAAGACATCCATGCCTAAGTCTGTTGATTTACGATTGGGTCTCTGCGCAGGACCCTGTCACGTGACTTGTCCTGGACCACGTCTGTAATGGCACCGAGATATGTCACAACCTTGGCGTCATCACAAACAGCGTCCTCCAGTCTGAGATAGGTAGAGTCGGTTCCACGTGTCCGCCACAGTAAAGCAATTGGTGATTAGGACAAGAAAAGTGAAAAACATGATTGCAATTATTTGTCGAATATTAATTTCCCTATATATATATTGTCAATTTCCGATGGATAGTGAAATATCCTCTGTGACTGTAGTGCAAGGGTCGTGGATAGTGAAATATACTCTTTGACTTTAGTGCATGGGTCGTGGACAGTGAAATATCCTCTGTGACTGTAGTGCAAGGGTCGTGGATAGTGAAATATACTCTTTGACTTTAGTGCAAGGGTCGTGGATAGTGAAATATACTCTTTGACTTTAGTGCAAGGGTCGTGGATAGTGAAATATACTCTGTGACTGTAGTGCATGGGTCGTGGACAGTGAAATATACTCTGTGACTGTAGTGCATGGGTCGTGGATAGTGAAATATACTCTGTGACTGTAGTGCATGGGTCGTGAACAGTGAAATATACTCTGTGACTGTAGTGCATGGGACGTGGATAGTGAAATATACTCTGTGACTGTTGTGCATGGGTCGTGGATAGTGGAGTATACTCTGTGACTGTAGTGCATGGGTCGTGGACAGTGAAATATCCTCTGTGACTGTAGTGCAAGGGTCGTGGATAGTGAAATATACTCTGTGACTGTAGTGCATGGGTCGTGGACAGTGAAATATACTCTGTGACTGTAGTGCATGGGTCGTGGACAGTGAAATATCCTCTGTGACTGTAGTGCAAGGGTCGTGGATAGTGAAATATCCTCTATGACTGTAGTGCAAGGGTCGTGGATAGTGAAATATACTCTTTGACTTTAGTGCATGGGTCGTGGACAGTGAAATATCCTCTGTGACTGTAGTGCAAGGGTCGTGGATAGTGAAATATACTCTTTGACTTTAGTGCAAGGGTCGTGGATAGTGAAATATACTCTTTGACTTTAGTGCAAGGGTCGTGGATAGTGAAATATACTCTGTGACTGTAGTGCATGGGTCGTGGACAGTGAAATATACTCTGTGACTGTAGTGCATGGGTCGTGGATAGTGAAATATACTCTGTGACTGTAGTGCATGGGTCGTGGACAGTGAAATATACTCTGTGACTGTAGTGCATGGGACGTGGATAGTGAAATATACTCTGTGACTGTTGTGCATGGGTCGTGGATAGTGGAGTATACTCTGTGACTGTAGTGCATGGGTCGTGGACAGTGAAATATCCTCTGTGACTGTAG